GCCTGGAACCCTGCCCGGGGGTCATGCCCGGCCGGGCACCCGGGCGTGTACCCGGGCAGAAGTTGGGTGCCCGGGCGCCCGGGAAAACAGCCTAGGTAATTAGTTGCTCCAAGTCGTTATTTACCCATCCACCCATTATCATTTCACTATTTGCATCCCTGTGTGTGCCATGTTTGATCGCCAGGAGAAAGAAAAAAGGGCAGCATCATCCTTACCTCCTGCACTTCATATGGCGTAATGTAAAACCGCAGCTCGTGGAGGAACAGCACCAACATCATAAAAACACCACCGATGGTAACTGCGTACAAAGCAAGGCACAGATCAAACCAAATGTTCAAAAATGCAGCTGTCGAAAGTGTGACCCCACTACCACCAAACGGAATCCGGAAATGTAAATTTTCTCCTCTTCATATACCCTTCACCCCCATCCACCCACCCCTGACATGCCTGCAAGGGCGATGCAATGAGAACACCACTTTTCCAAAATGCAGAAGTGCAGTTGAAAGCAGAATACCAAAGCTGATAGCACTCCAATTACAAGCAAACAGATCTCCAAAGTCTCTTGATAAAGAAAGCACAACTTCTTGCCTCCGTTCCTCAATAGAGCTACTAGTAGCTGTGCTGTGACTTGACCGCCCTATTCTACTTCCCAGTTCCTCTACTCACACTAGCCTAATACACCTAACTCTGTCCATTTTAAAAGGGCCTTTACCCGATATAGGCCTCAGACCTTGTAAAAATAGAGCAGCACGGGCCTTGTAAAAGTAAAGCATTGTGAAAAGGTATCTTGCCAGGGCTCAGAAACGTGAAAACAGGTCAAAAGTCAAGTTCTCTATCAACAGGCACATCTAAATCTAAGGCAAAGGGCATTGTCAAAAGACTTACCTGTTCACCAGGAGATGTGTATGTCATGTCTGTTCGAGTAAGGGTGTGTCTGTACGTGTAGGCAGTGTACCTGTTCGTGCAATGGAAAGTGCCTGTTCAAGTAGTAAATGTGTCTGTTCGTTTAGAGTTGTGCCTGTCCGAAAGTGAAGTCAGTAGGCACAGTCCCAGTTCTGGTCTAAGTCAAGGGGTCAGTCCAGATCCAGACTTTCAAGTCCAAATCCAGGCCGAAGTGCCTAAGCAGCAGTTGAATCTCATTGGGACTGTACTGGGACACATGCAATGCAGGGTCTGGGACAAAGGGAGAGGCTGAATTGAGCCAATGCAGACCCAGCGAGGAGTGGCCAGCACTATAAAAAGAGCTTCCTGCCTCATTCTTCGCAGATCTCCACTGGCTGCAATGCGTGGAAGTGCTGGTGCACTTGTSCGCTGAGTCAGGAGGAGCAGCGCTGGAGGAGAAGACGCGCTGGAGGGAGGAAGATGCCTGTACGCTGGAAGTGATGCAGCCATAGCTGCCCAGCGAGYWAGCATTAGTAGTAGAGGGTTAGTATGTAGCTATGAGTAGTATCCAGAGTAGATCCTCATGAGTATTGAAGAGTGTGTATGCATCATAGGAGGAAGGGATTGAGGCTGAGAGTGTTCATTCAAGGTTGGCTATGGAAGATACTTACCTGAGTTGGATGGCGCTGATGAGTGGTGACCACATTGATGACTTGGAGTCTATCTGCAGGGGTAGCACTGATTCACTGGAAGGCATATTGATGAGTTGGCAAGATATTGGTGTTGCGCTGATGAGCGCTGGACTCAGGGGAACTTTGAAACACTTTGTATTCATATTTCTGATAATATAAACTGTGAAACTCGGTCCTCATCTTCTCTATCTTTGTCTATTGTCAGACTACTGTTCATTGGTGTGGGAGTACAATGCATGGCATGTACACACTTGCGTGAGATGGTCCCCAGGACCCATGCAATTTGTTACTCACAAGATGCTGCTTGAAGAATCTGTTCACACAGGCTTTCTACGCCAACACCAGGTAAGAACCGCCAGCTCCCACTGCCTTCCTTCTCTTCCCAACGTCTTCCACACTCCACCAGCTAGCGCATGCCAGCTATGGCTGCAAGCAGCCACTGCACCTGCTTCTTTATCCTCAGGTATTGCTCCTCTGACCTTAGCGCAGATCTGCACTGCCGCAAGCTATGGCTGCCTGAATGTGTTGTGTGTGGCGGGCTCCTTCCTTTTGCCTGCTCAGGAGGCCACAGTCTGGGCCCAGTAAACAGTGCCTGCTGCCTACTGGATCTGAGTTCTAGTCCCAGCCTCTGTAACAGACTGGAGGCCGGGCCTATAGGTTAGTTACAGGCGCTGGTGCCTGTTCTGAGGCCCAAAAATTCCCCTGCTGGTGTTTTCTGAGGCTCGGCTTCTTTTTAACCAGGCCCACCTTCACTTAGGGCAGCCGGGCTGTATTTAAGTGCGGCCTCTGAGGCACGCCAAGGCATGGAGCCTCGCATTCCTATCCCCTCAGGTTCAAAAGCCCGTTGGGAACACTTCACTCATGGCATTGCTGTTATGAACTTGGTTGTCTGACGAATTTTCTCGCCACTCACACACAGACAATCTCACACATGCCCATACATGCATAAGAGTAGGGGAGAGAGGAGACAGAGTCCACACTGCACACAGGTGAAGATAAACAGCGGAAGACAATTATGCACAGCAGGGGAGAAGACACACAGTGTTTCTCGCTCTCTGACACAACTCCCAACAACCAATCACAAGAAAGAACCTGCGAAGATCACAATTGAAACTGTCACTGATGATGAACCACTCACACAATTATCGTAACAGAGTTTGTTCCAGTATCTCGCCACACTCAGAACTCACACCCCACTCTCTATCCTACACCCAGTTAGTAGCGCTGCATCWGAACAGCCTCYCAGAGGCCAGCGCCAACCACCCTGATGAAGAACAGGTCYTGCGATGAAGTCTTCAGTGYCGATGGACAACTCTGACGAAGGAACAGGCAGCTATGGCTGCCACCACCCACGAACCACTCAGTGTAGAGCCTCAACGTAGCCCGGCCATACGCAGATACCCCCAGGGGTAGATGCGCTGAGGATGCCCCAGCTATGGCAAGCTCAGGGAGGGCCGGCTATGGCTGCTGTTGCGGTCTGTCTCAGGATGCCGCCGGTAGGCAGGTACCGCCACCAACTCGCTTGGCTTCTCCAACGCTGCTCGCGAGAAATGAACCCCCAAAAAGTCCTGAACCCACGGGCCTAACCTATCTATAGACTCCCTAGACCTAGACCGGACTGACTGACCGACCCGTACCGTTGCTGTTTCGGCCTCTCGGCCTCTACCGGACCCGGCTATAGGCTATAGGATCGTCTAGCAGCATAGGCCACTTAGGGCCTGTTTGTCCTAGAGTAGCCCGGGCCTGCTATAGGCAGTTAGGGTAGCTGTAGGAATTCGGTAGTACAGGGCCTGTATTTTCCC